ACACACACACACACACACACACACACACACACGGCCCCGACCCCCTCTCTTACCCTGAGCAGGTTGTTGACATCATTGAGGTACTTGACGTCGCGCTCGCTGTTGGCGTACTGCGTCTCCATCTGGTAGAGGGCGTACAGCTCCTGCAGCTCGGGAGGCATCCCTGTACTCAGCTCTGCGGGGGGAGGGGAGGGGGAGAAAGGAAGCGCAATCAACGTTGGCTCAGGGCCAAGGTGCTCGGCGGCGGCGGCCATGGCCCTCGAACACTCGCGGTTCGCGGACGGAGTGGGCCGGCGGCAGGGCAGCCATAAGGGCGACTCGAATTAAACTGAGGTCTTTGAATATCATTATCAGACAAGTGCACTGTGGAAAATAGCAATTAGTCATGCTAAAATGTTCATAACATCATGCTTGTTGCCATTTGTGATCACAATTAAAGATACGTAATAAAGACAATGATAATGATCCAGTCATAATGTTCAATAGGACTGATACATGAAGTAAAATATCTTACATGGGAGTTTTTTCTACTACAAAATGCCGGAATGAAATGGTAGAAGCATAAGACAGAGTGATAAAATATAAAACAACACACACTAAACAAAATACTCTAAATTGTGCGGTTTTCTTCGTTTATAAACTACATTGGAATCTCTATACATTGGAATCTCATAGAGTTCAACTGCGAGGCCAAAGCGACGCTGCAAGGACTCGCAACCAATCGCCACGGCGCCAGAGGCGGACTTGCGCAGGGAGGAAGCCAAGACTTTTCTTCCGGTGGCAATCAGGGTGTCGCGCGATACCTCGCGACAGCCAAAGGATGTCTCGTGGTCGGAGGCGAGACACGTCGCTAAGCTCCGTCGCAATGGGAATAGCTGCGGTTGACGGCTAGTTTTATTGCAGTGGTTATTTTTTCGAATAGTAAACAGTATTTTGGAATATAATATCCTAAATGACTTATGAGGGATTGTGCTGTGTTATAGATACCCAATAAACGTACGAATATGCATGAAAATAACCAGGGTCGGAGGAATGCATGTGGCAACCCGAGAGGCGATGTGTCTGCCGTCACCGTCGAAAGAGAGGCTCTGTTCACTCTTCACTCGCAAACACACACAATACCTTGCGGTTGCAGAAATACGAGTGAAAGTGAAAAAGCGGTAAGGAGAATAACTGTGTAGTTAAATCATTCATAACACCAGAGAAGAGAGAAAGACATATCAAGGGCAGCGCCGCGGCCATCATCGGCAGCCAGAGCTCGGCGCCCGGGGAAGGCGCGGCGTCAGAAGCGCCAGAAGTGCGACATTTACGCCAGAAAGCAAAGAACCAAAAGCGCCAAAAACCATTCGTCACGTGAGGCGAAGAGGAACAAAGTGGTGGACACGAGGAATCGGCATTCCGGAGGGTGAGGGGGTGAGTGAGTCAGGCACACAGGAATAAGGGTGAGAAGAAGGTGAGCGGGAGAGAGAGAGAGAGAGAGAGAGAGAGAGAGAGAGAGAGAGAGAGAGAGAGAGAGAGGGAGAGAGGGAGAGAGGGAGAGAGAGAGAGAGAGAGAGAGAGAGAGAGAGAGAGAGAGAGAGAGAGAGGGAGAGAGAGGGAGAGAGAGAGAGAGAGAGAGAGAGAGAGAGAGAGAGAGAGAGAGAGAGAGAGAGAGAGAGGAGAAAGAGAAAGGGAGAGAGGAGAAAGAGAGAGGGAGAAAGGGAGAGAAGGAGAGAGAGAGAGAGAGAGAGAGAGAGAGGAGGGGGGGGGAGAAAGGGAGATAGGGAGAGAAGGAGTGAGTGAGAGAGAGAGAGAGAGAGAGAAACGGACAGATAGACAGATATACAGAAATAGACAGACAGACGGAGAGAGAGAGAGAGAGAGAGAGAGAGAGAGAGAGAGAGAGAGAGAGAGAGAGAGAGAGAGAGAGAGAGAGAGAGAGAGAGAGGGAGGGGGGAGGAGAGGATGGCAGAGGGAGGGAGAGGGAGGGAGGGAGAGAGGGAGAGGGAGGGAGGGAGAGGGAGGAAGGGAGAGAGGGAGAGGGAGCGAGGGAGAGAGGGAGAGGGAGGGAGGGAGAGAGGGAGGAAGGGAGAGAGGGAGAGAGGGAGAGGAGGGAGGGAGAGAGGGGAGAGAGGAGAGGGAGGGAGGAGAGGGAGGGAGGGAGAGAGGGAGGGAGGGAGAGAGGGAGAGGGAGGGAGGGAGAGAGGGAGAGAGAGAGAGGGAGGAGAGAGGAGAGAGAGGAGGGAGAGGGAGAGAGAGGAGAGAGAGAGAGAGAGAGAGAGAGAGAGAGAGAGAGAGAGAGAGAGAGAGAGAGAGAGAATAATGCCCGAGGGACGGGTGCAAGCCCCTCGAGCGACAGCGTCCGAGCCCGAGGGCCTCTTACCTGCCCCGCCTTCGTTCATGGCTGCGAGAGAGAGAAAGCATCAGACTTCCCTTCTGCTTCACGTGAGGCATATTACATAGATCGAGTCGCATGTAGTTGTACACAAGTCTTTCTTTATTCAATGTTAATTATGATTAC